TATATATATATATATATATATATATATATATATATATATCATTGGGTAGTTTTGTATGTTCTTATTGAGGTTCTTGTGCCTTGTAAAATTTTACAATATACGATTTTTAATTAAGTTACGGTGAGTGTTGTTTATATGTGGTTTTATTCAATATATAATAATCTTTGTTAGATTATATATTATATTATATAAATATAATTTTTTAAACATAATATAAGATTATCAAGGGTAAATAATGACAGATTATCATTACGCACTCCTCATATTATGAATAACCAGAAGATTTCCTATATAGTAACACTGCGTAGTATAATATCAAGAGCGTATAAAGAAGGCCTTCTTAATGCGCTTTTGATAATATATATATATATGTGTGTGTGTGTGTGTGTGTGTGTGTGTGTGTGTGTGCGTGTGCGTGTGCGTGTGCGTGTGCGTGTGCGTGTGCGTGTGTGCGTGCCGTGTGTGCGTGCGCGTGTGCCTGTATGTGTGCGTGCGCGTGTGCGTGCGCGTGCGCGTGTGTGTACATTAGCGTGTATTAAGAATGGCATGCCGTTTTACAGTGCTGCATTTCTTCGCGGCTGGACATGTCGATGGGTCTACGGTAGTATTTAGTGTCATGTTTTCCCGTGTGAAGCTCATAGCTAGCTAGATTGTGAAGCTCATAGCTAGCTAGAGTGTGAAGCTCATAGCTAGCTAGATTGTGAATCGTATAGCTAGTGTGAACTTTGATTGCTGCGTTGATAAGTGTTTTTATGCGACGTTATAAGGCGAGCATACCGCGAAGACATCCAAAGGCTTATTGCTGACTCCGTTAACAGCGCTCTTCTTGGTTTCCTCCAGAGAGTGAAGAGAGAGAGGCCGAGAGGGAGGGGGGAGAGAGATAGAGAGAGACCGAGAGGGAGGGGAGAGAGAGAGAGTGGGAGAGGGAGACGGAGAGAAGAGGGGGAGGGATAGAGAAGGATAGAGAGAGAGAGAGAAAGAGAGAGAGAATCAAGAGCGGTCCAGTTGTTTCTACCTTTCACATTAAAATCTGAGAGAGAACAAAACCGCATCCAGTGCAGTGAATGAAGACGAAGAAACGACCAGGTATTAGAATATGCACGCGCGTAGATGTGCATGGTTGCCGCTATTGTTACTGTTATGAAGATAGAAATATATAGACTCTAGGAGAGCTATAATAATACATGTATTATTATTATCTCTTGACACAGTATATATATATAATTATAAATATATATATATATATATATATATATATATATCCTAATTACTGTATTATTTCAATGGTCGTGAACATACATATACAAGATTGTATACCTAGATATATGCATGCTACTGTATATAGATAGATTAAGATGGAGCGGGCGGGAAGGAGTACGTTATGGTCCTAACTCTAGTCCGTGCGCATGCGTAGATGTAAATAATTGAAATCATGTCTAAATAAACGACGTAACTGTTACTGAAAATTCTGCAATCTTGTTTGGAACGTAACCGCCGTTACCATGAGTAACAAGACACGCGATACACGAAGAGACAGAGAGAGAGATAGAGAGAGAGAGAGAGCGAGGGAGGGACAGGGAGAGAGAGAGATAGAATGAGATTGCGAGAGAAAGAGAGAGCGCGCGAGAGAGGTCTAGTGTTGAGAACGCACGCACGCCCGTTCAACATTGAAATGGAAATTGTGCGACGCGCGTGTGTGCGTGTGTGCGTGTGTGCGTTCGTAATATGCTTTGCATACATGTCTGCAATACGTTTACCTTTACACAAGTTAGAAAATTATTTTAGCAAAGAATTAACGGGGATTCGAACCCCGGTTTCACAAATGAAAGGCTAGAGCTCTAACTAGATGTACTAACGAGACACTCGTCTATAGCCAGGTGGTTTTACATAATTACATATATATGCACATTACGGACGCGACAATTTCTATCCCTCTGTCACTTCCTTACTCCCCTCTCGCGTATAGTTCGCCCGTGACCAGTCAAGCGTTGAAAAACATTCGCAGCAAAATGAGCGTATTTCAGCCGAAACTTTTTCACTCCCCGATGCACAAAATGTGAGAATTTACGCATATAATACACGCGCACGCGTGCGTGCGACCACACCCGCGTGTGCGCATCCGTTGGTGGGTGTGTATGTGTGATTTTGTGACTGTAAAAACACGTATTATAGCCGTAAATCCACTATTTGTGCTTTTGGGAGTGAAAAAGTTTAGGCTGAAATACGGCCATTTGGTCGTCAAAGAATTTTCATGCTTGACTGGCCATGGGCGATACTATCCGCGAGAGGGGAGTAAAGAAGTGACAGAGGGATAGGAATTGTCGCGTCCGTAATGTGCATATATGTATCTATGTAAAACCCCCTGGCTCTAGACGTGTGTCTCGTTAGTACATCTAGTTAGAGCTCTAGCCTTTCGATTAGGAAACTGGGGTTCGAATCCCCGTTAATTCTTTGCTAAAATATTTTCTAACTTGTGTAAAGGTAAACGTATTGCAGACATGTATGCAAAGCATATTACGAACGCACGCACGCACGCACGTTCAACACTGAAATGGAAATTGTGCGACGCGCGTGTGTGTGTGTGAGTATGTACATATAGTATCAAGAGCTAATAACACCTACATACTATACTGCCATTGGACGGTGGCGCCACCATGACAATTAGCGGTACATTTTGGAACTCGCGGCGACACCGTCCAATGGCATCACTTAAATGCTTGATAGTATGTACGTAAAGTATCTATGGTGTCAGGTGACACCGGGAGCTATAGTTATTTGTTAAATCTTGCCGTTTATTTAATTGTTTGTCAAATGTTGCCAAACATCATTCCCATGTTTATTATGTAACTATGTATTTTTTCCATGCCCTGAGAGCGTCCGTTCAAGAAATAAATCAATTCAATTCAATGCATAAAATGTCATTGGACGGTGGCGCCGCCAGTACAGTTAGCGGTACATTTTGGAACTCGCAGCGCCACCGTCCAATGGCACCACTTAAATGCATCATAGTCTGTAGGTAAAGTATCTATGGTGTCAGGTGACACCGTGTGCTATTGTTTATTTGTTAAATCTTGCCGTTTATTTAATTGGTTGTCAAATGTTGCCAAACATCATTCCCATGTTTATTATGTAACTATGTATTTCTTTCATGCCCGGAGAGGAGCCGTTCAAGCATTAAATCAATTCAATTCAATGCGTCTCCATGTAGTCACGGGGCCGTCTGATGTAACCCGCGGCCGTCTCCATGTAGTCACGGGGCCGTC